AATTCCCTGAAAAAGCCACAATAGAAGAAGGCGATGGAATAATTTCCTCCTTTACAGTTTTACTGGCTTAAAGGGCTACAATCTTCTAACCATCCAGAGTTTTTCTTAAAATATTATCATCATCTTCTGCAAAACTGAGTAGGAAAACCATGATGGTCCTTAGGGGTGGAGTACTGTGCAAGCGCGAAAGGGAAGATGTTCCTTTGAGCCTGTGTCAAGTTGCCAGCTTCTCATGATGATGGAACTTCATCTGTCGAGCAGTAACAGCTTTTTGGAAGTGCTCTCCACCCAGTGATAACAGGCAAAGCGCTCCCCGCAACCCACCATGCATTTAGATCAGGACACATGGATTCTGGTCTTGCCTCTGCTATAACCACGTGAACCGTGTCAAGCCACTTCACATTTTTGGTCTTCAGTGTCTTCCTCTCTGAAATGGAGCTGCTTCCTGGCCTGCTCACATTGTTCAGTCGAGCATTCACACCGTGGGCATTCTAGACAGCCCTGGTCTCTTCTGCATCACCACTCACTATGCTGTGCGGTCTTGGACAAGTTAGCAAACTCTCTGACCTTACAGTATCTACTTCTAAGAAGGGGCAATAATATCTATATCAAATGGTGCTTGTGAGGAGATTTGATGAGATGATTACGTAAAATGATTTCCACAGTGCCTGGCACACGGTAAGAACTCACTAAATGGTGGCTTTTATTATTTCTACCTTCCTAAGGATAGAGGGGCAGGAGAAAGCATGGGCTCTGGAGTCATGGAACTGGGTTCCAATCCTGCTTTCCTCCTTAGAGCTGTATGCTCTTGGGCAGGTTATCTGAGCTTCAGTTTCTTCATCTGTGAAATGGGGATAAGAATATTTACTTCCCAGGATTGTTATGATTTTCAAATGCAATAATACTAATTGGGATAAAGGGGCAATGTTTGGTCCCCACGTAAGTTCTCTACAGTTGTTAATTTCCTTCTGCTTTTTCCCTGTCTCACACAGTCGAGAAACTAAAATGGAAAACAAGTGGGAACACTTTGAAAAATATGTTATACAAAGTGGACACATAAGTACTTCTTCCTGAAGGAGAAAGGATTAAGGAACAGTGAAAGGACCAAAACACAAGCACTGGATTGAGGAAGTGGAGAATCTGGGGTCTTGGTGAATCTAAGCCCTGGGTAATCAGGCCTTGGTAATCCAGTGATTTTCCATTTCCTCAGACATTCACGGCCAATAATCATGGAAAGGGCAAGATCTCTGGAGCCAGACCTGGGTTCAAATTCCCCACTCCACCATGATGAAAGGGCAGACTTGGAGCAGTTGATCCAACCTTCCTGCACCTCACTTTCCTCACCTATAAAATGGGGATAATAAATCCTTCTTCAGAGAGTGGTGGTGAAGTGCCTAGGGGGGCGCTGGCGGAGAGATGCTCAAGTCACAGTGGTTTTTCTTCTGAACAGGCCTTGATACTATTCATTCTGAGTATTTATTCATCGCCCACAGAGGATACGGATAGAGTGCCATGATGGCTAGTTTTCCCAAGTCTTGATTTCAAGCATGATTGCTCTGTTGACAGGCTCTGTATCTGGCTAACTCCTCATTGTCCTTGGAGTAAATAGCATTGTCCTTGGAGGAAATGGAAGCACTGCTCTTCCATTCTCCTATGCACCATCTTAGGGCCATGCTCTGCCAAGAACATTCTATCCACGCTCTTCCAATGGATGGCTCCATTTCATCCCTCAGTTCATCTCTTTGAGGGAACCTGGGTTCTTTGTCAACACTTTTAATCTCAGGATCACGTTATTTCTTTTATATCATTCGTCATAATTTTAATCACATATATTTATTTGTTTACTTGTTTTAATGTGTCTCTCCCACTAGATTGTAAGCTCTACTAGGACAGAGTCTTTACCTCCTTTGGTTGTTACTGAATGGTCAGAGCCTGCCGTAAAAGGTTTTCAATGAGTGTTTGATGAATGAATAAATACTAGCTCCTGCATCTTGATTGAGGTTTAAAGATATGGGCACTACGGGCAGGAAATTTTGTGAACCATTTGAGCTTCTTAGAAGCTGTTCTGCAATCTTATTTTGGATAATTAAGCCCAGTCCTATTTTATGAGAAAATAACCAGTCACAAAACAACGTTCATGGGAACAAGCTGGAATAGATGCTCCAAATGGGGGGAAAATTAAAAGCTTTCTTTTCAGTATCCAAAAGGGGAAATGAACCTACTTCTTAAAAATAGTTAGCCAACTTTTAGGCCATAATTATTTCTGTCTGATTTGAGAAAGATGAGCCTGCTGTGCTTGTCCCTGTTTCTCTGTCCAAGCAAACGAATTAACAACTGCCATAAACATGGGTTTCAAGTATTGGAAGGATCAAAACCACGAGCATAACTCCCAGATAAAAGCTCACAAGAATGTTATCATTCAGCTAAAAGTTTGGAGACTTAAGTCTCCATATTTTTTCTTTTTACCCTTTTTGGGAGACTGTTTTGCTAAAATTTCTTTAACATCTTTGGACAGTTATTTCCATTTTGGGGTTGGGGGGATTTTACAAGCATCTGAGCCTATGTTGACCTTGAGTGAGTTGCTAAGGCTGAAATATTCAAGGACAACACTGATTTATGCAGATAGAAAGATTCTATTATTTGTGTAGGAACCAGCTCTTGGATGATGTTAGGCACATGACTCATAAGAACTTTTGAACAGATGAAGAGTTGTCTCTGTTGGGAATCCAGCCATGTGAAGGCAGGATGTCTGCCTCCTGATTGGGCTACTGCCTCTTGGTGTCCCCAGTTTCTCTCCTGTGTACACTGACACTGCCATCTGATGATCTTCTTAAATATCACTTGTTTCAGTGATTACACCCACTGCCCATAGGCTGGAGTCAAAACCCCTTCAAGGCTCTCATCAATCTGGTTCCAATCCAATGTCCAGCTTATTTTCCATTGCTCCTTTGCCCAAACTGTCCTGCCAGATAGATAGGTATTACTGTTATTGTCCCCTGCACATGCTTTGCTCTTTTCCAGCATCTGGGCTGAGGACATGTCATCTCTCCTTTGGTGCTACCCACCACCCTCCCCTGGTCTTGCAAGGATTCAGGTCTACCCTGCCTTCTCAAGAAAGCTCCTGCCTACGACAATCTACCTCTGAGCCTCCAAAGGATGCACAATCAGCCCCAAATCCGCTGCTAATCATGTTTGTCATTTCTTGGGTTGTTGTCTTATATAGTTATTGTAGTTCTTGTTGCTTACATTGTCAAATATGCCACAGTGACTCTAGAAATAATTTAAAGCAAGGGTCCTTCATCTGTGGACCCATAATTGGATCTGATACTTTTTTCATCCTATCAGTAATTTCTACTTTTTGGCTAAAGTAAGTGAGTGGGTTTTTATTCTTTGCAAACATACACATCTTGAATAAAATAACTGTCATCTGTACATATTTACAATAGGAATTCCCAAACTGAGGTGGGATAATTTTTTACAATTTTGAAAACTTGAGGTCATATATATCAATGTTCTAAAAGTATACCTGGGGCATTTATTTTAAAAAATGCAGATTTAAAATAGGCTGGTTCTTTCAATTCATCCCAGACTGACTGCAATAGAATCTCTTGGGGTTATGTATTGCAAACATGATTCCCAGGTGATTTTTATGCATATTCAAGAAAACTTAGAGGATCGAGGGAAGATGATATTAATCCCCATCATATGACAGGGAAGGGAAGCAGAAGAGAAAATTATTCACATGCCTCAAGTACCTATCATGTGCCTGGAAAAATATTAGGTATTTTCACCAGTAATCCTTGTAATCCTCAAACAAGCCTATGATGTAAGTTTTATCATCAGACCCTTTTTCCAAACAAGGAAAGAAGGGTCCAAGGGTCTGTAAGTGGTAAGTGCATGAGCCAGCCTTTAAACTCTGGGCTGACCAGCTCCAAGGTTCTTACTTCTTACTCTGCTTTCCACTATGTTGGAGCTCCTAGCAATCCTTGGAGGGAGAGGCGGCATGGAGGCATAGCCAGGCTGGAGGTCTCCTAGGTTGGTCTGGGGAAGTAGGCAGATCCTGAGCCCCCAGCTGGTAATCCCTGGATCAAGACCCCTTGACATCTTAAGAGGGCAGTGATCATCTGAGCTCTGAATTTGTACCTGGAACCCCAAGTCTGGAGCCTGGTGAGCTTCCAGTGAAGACTGTGGGGTGCCTGCCTGGTCACAAAACCTAAAGGTGAGAGCCACAACACCTCTGGACATGATAGGTGCAGTATGCACACTGGCTTGCCACCTGAGGCTTCAAAGACCAGTAGCATCCAATATTCCACCGGGACCAAGGGTCTGGCCTGTGTGTGGAAGGCAGAGAAGAGAGGCCGGGAAGCCAGCGTCCTGTTGATCATCGAGGAAAAGCGCTATAGAAAGCCACGTGTGTGTGTAAAGGAGGGCTGGTGACTGTGCAAGCTCTGGAGAACACTGGAGCCCATGATTTGGGATTATGCATCTAAAGCAGTGGTTCTCAACTTTGGCTCCACATTAGACTCATCTGGGGAGATTTAAAAAATTCCTGAGACCCAGGCTGCATCCCAACCAAAAGCCCAGACAATGTTTTCTAAAGCTCTGCAGATGATTTCAGTGGGCAGCCTGGCCTAAAGTGCCTCCCATGGCCAAGTGATACAGGTCTAGCCTGCAAATGCTCTGGAAGCAGCCTGTGACTGAACACAGTCTGCCCAGTAGGAGAACTGAGAGAGCCGCCTGAAGTTTGGTTCACTGCCAGAGCAAGGTCCCCCATAATTTTTAATTTTCCATTGTTGCGTAGAAGTGGTATAGGAGAACGAGAAAAGACATGTATGAAAGGGAGAAGGGAGAGGTGGGACACGGCAGACACTAAGATAAATGAAGGAATGTTCTCTCAAGTAGAAAAACACCAGCCTTGGAGAGATGAACTGTAGTATTAATAGCAGATTGGGGGCAGGAGGTGCCTGGATGTCCAGTCACAGAGGAAATGCTCTACTCACTGAGTGGATGATGCCTTGCAGAGCCTGAAAGCCGTCATTCACAGGAAACACATGATCCTTACTGTCCGCAATCCGGGCCAGCTGAGAACACAGCAAACACACACACACACACGGAAACATGTCAGGCTCAGACATGGAGAATTTGGGAAAGCCACTGGGGCCAGGGGACTCTACCTACTTTCAGAACCCAAAGGAACATGAGGCCCTCGCTGGGCTCAAGGGCCTTCCCGAAAAGCCTTCCGTAATGATGAGCTTACCAGAGCCTCTCTGGAGCAGGCTCAGAGGGTCAGTTTCAGCTTTTATGTTTGTTTTAATACTTTTCTCCTCGGGAGGAGAGGTAAGAGTGCCCAGCTTCATGAACATTTGGCCTGAGTTGATATATTTATGAACCTAGGGATAGGCCATTGGCTTATTTTTCTTCCATTCACCCAGATTCCTGTTGGTAACTTTATTCTAATCAAACAGACTCAAGTTTCCTTTCAGAGCAACTTTAAAAATAAACTCAAGCTTTGGTGAGGCCAATGAGTGGGAACCCAAACCTTTCACCCAAACTGCTCATTAAGGAAAAGGCCCTGGCAATGGGTTGTGCTGCCTCTGTGTTAAGGAGCAGAGGACTGAGGGCAAGAGAAGCTACTCTCTGGGCTTTTCCACTCCCCGATCTCTGCGTAGTTCTGTGATTGCCACAGTCAGAGTCAGAGCCAGCACATATGGTTTAAAAAAATGTATCTTTTATTGTTTTTGCTGACAAAAGTACTACTTCCTCATGGCAAAAACTTAGGAAAATCCAAGAGAGTTAAAAGAAAAAGAAAATAAATGTGACTCATAATCCATCCATCTATCTATCTTTATTAATAATTTGATAGATAGGGTTCTTCATAGCTTTTCTATACAAATATACATATATTTATTTTAAAAGTGGGCACACGCTATATTCTCACTGCTTTGTAATCCTATTTTATTCACTTAACAATATACCACGAGCATTTTCCTTTGCCATTAAAACAAAAGGAAATCATGAACTACATTGAGGAACACTTATTTAGGTTCCTCAGGTTTTTACACTTGCTTATGTGTACTTGTACACACTTTTTGGCCCACTTGTCCAGTTATTGCCATACTTTTATTTTGAAAATGCACTGCATTTTTAATGGGTAAAAAGGAATGTTTGTCATTTGAATAAAAAATCATACTTATCAAATGAAATTTTTAAACAAAACAAGAAGTTTTCCAAGTTAATTCAGCTCTCTTTTGACATTTTGGCAATTGAACATTTACAGAGAAAGTCAACCAAGAAAGATGCTGCCTTGATGATCTGTGTTGAAGACCCCAAGTGCATCAGCAAATAACTTCACAACCTTTACACATCCAGTAATTCCTTCCTGCTTAGCATTTCTAGAAAAGTAACTTATCTAAGGGGTATTTATCCTGCTGATGCACCCTCTGCACTGACTGCACGTGTTCTCCGTCACTCACAAGCTCAGTATGCTCCCGATCTGAGGAAATCCATGATCATACCTGTGTTTCATTGAAATCTTTCACACCAACACAGTAAACGATTGCACCGAGGTCTCGGGATCTATTAGCCTGGGTCAAGGAAAGAAAGGAAATTAGAAAGAGAAGCAGTGACAAATGAACTCCTCTTCGATTTCCCAGATTAACTTCAATAATCAGATATTTAATGAGCAGCTACCACGTGCCAGGTATCACATTGTAGAAGGCAATCCCTGTTCCCAAGAAGCTCAGACTTTAGTGGACACGACATTTTAACGGTGGACCTGAGGGGAGTGATTACTTCAAGGTGGAAGAGTTGAAAAAGATCAACTGAAATACAGTCTTGATGAAGGGCTTTGACAGATAAGGGAAGGACAGGGAAACTGCAGGCTAATATAAGTCAAATATTCTGGGGAAATGATTGCCTTTTCTCTTCTTCTGATGGATTTTTATTGACATGTTTTTGTTTGCTTGTAATGGCAGTATAGTATTATGAAAGAATGTAGCCTTTGGAACCCAATATACCTGGGTTTGAGGCCTGGCTTTGCTCTATATAGTGTACTGGGGATTAAATGAGATAACGTATACAGAACTCCTCACCCAAGGCCTAGAACAATGTAGATATTCGTAAATGTCAGCACCCTTTGTGAATAAGGCCTTTTTCATTCCTACAGAATAAACTGGCTTAATGGTATGGGAATTTCGGTCCATATTTGAATAGGTAAGCCCACAACCTTCTCCACAATTAAGCATTGAGAGAGCAACATAATAATATGCAGGTTTTGGCTCAATTTTAATATTTAATTTATTAAAGGCTCTGATATTTGATTTCCAGATTCTCCCATGTTTCAGAATAGAAAATAAAAATTGGAAATCCTTGGCCCATACAGCAGTTGCTTAATAAATAATTGATAGTAAACATATAGTAAGTGCTCAATATATGCATATCACTTTGAATTGTGTTTCTTTCACCCTTTTGTTAGTATTCAAACCCACTTGTGTCTAACACTGAATTTTAGCAGGGACAGAAGCATGTCTTTTTTTCTTCATGTTATAATAGAAATATTCTACACTGCTTTCAGCATAAAGCAAAGTTTTATACCACAGTCTAGCCCCGACCTTATCTGCAACAACTCTGTGACTCTTCGCCTCTGGTTGGCCTTAATATAGAATTATCAAGAATGGAAAGATTCAATTTCTTCATATCTTGAGCTTTATCTTTCTTTTTCAGAAGGCCTCCTGCTATTGGCATTGGCACTCAGAATATTTTTCCAAGTTTGTATGTGCCATACCTAAAATTCCTTTCTGCTTACCCCTATTTTAAGCCCCTGACACCCATCATTTATTTTATTTTCAGTTCTTTCCTTATCAGGGTTTTTACTTTATTTGACTGTTATTTAGTGCCCAAATAAGCCACTTTGCATTCCCATCATACAGTTAGTTTCCACTTTAGAATGCAGAAATGTATCCTTTTCCAAATGCTCAGGGAGTATCCGCCATATTAACTTGTGTGTTTCCCACTGTGAGTCACCCTTAGTACTAGTTGGCAGAGATGGGAATTACTGTGTTTACCTACATAATTTCCCTATGCCCTTTGCCAGTGAAGACTTCAAAAAGCTGACCATTACTTCACGGTCACTGTGTTTCACTCACCTCTGGGTCTCTAGTGTTTGAAATTTGCTGAGCACATGTGAAGCCCTCAGTTAATACTGAATGAATAAATGAACATATATACCTCACATTCCCCGAAGGAGTTGAATTTAAATTCAGCAGTAGTCAAGAGCTTGAGGTAAGTGCAATGCTACCCTTAACTGCTCTCCTGGAGCGGGCATCTCCCACCCTCACTGCCTGTCTCTGTCCCTATTATTTCTTTCTACCTTGGCCTGAATGAGCCTTTGTCACTAAATAGGCTTCAGTATTCATCCATGGTTAACTTATTTCCTTTTATACCAATTATACATATAGCATTAGGCCAATTATGCATATAGCTCAAATTCAAAACTTGAAAGGAAAGGATTTCCTAAGTATAAACATTACTTTTCAATTCTTGACTAAATCTCTTTTTCTAAGTCTCTTTATACAAACTGAAATCATTTAGAGAATTTTCTTACTTGTCTTGAGGAATAATGTTTGAGAACACAAAGAAAAGGAAAAAAATACTAATGTAGAGATTATAATTAACTTTGCTACCAATTGCTGTTCAACTTTGGTCCTTAGAGTGAGAATCTCAGCGATCCATCCATTCTAACAATATTTGGTCTTACAAATTTCAAGTAAGAATTTCCCCTCCTCCTGCTTTAGTAGAAAGTATGAGGGAAAATGGAGGAAAAATAGTACCAATGTTTGTTGTTTAAAAGTGATATACAGTATTTCAAAACTGCTACAGCATTACAACGTCTTCAATAAAGGCATGGCAGATATAGATATATTTTATCCCTCAAAACAGGGTAATATGCAAAAATTTTGAAAGGGGAAAACATCTACATGTGTAAGGCATGAAAATTCACTTTTAAAAATGAATTATTATTATTTTCACATATGAAACACTCTTTCATTCAGGAGTTTTACAAAGAACACCTATCAGTTTGCCTGCATAGAGAGAGCGCAGCCCATTTCGGAAGGAAGAAGCCCTGTTTCCATGTGTGTGTTTAAACACAGGCCAGGCCATCACTTACCTCCCTCTCTGAGTAGAAAAAGAGATCTTCATGGAGTTCTCCATCGGTCAAAGCAATGATGACGCTGGCTGTCCTGTATCCTGTTTAGCACAACACAGACCAGCTCAGTCCATCCTGCTCCACCCAAGAAAACCCCCTCTCAGCCCTGGGATTTGCTCTCTTATAAGCTCAACCACCCAAAGTCAATATTGTGAAAACCACCAACTTGGGTTGTTTAGTGGTCCTTGTCACCTGCTGTAGTTGACCACATATACAAACCCTTGAAGACAGTTGGGCAAAAAGTAATAGTCATCATGATTTACAAGTTGACCGGAAGAATTATAGCAGCTGGCAAAACCTACTAGAATTCTTTCAGTGATTTTTAGGCTTCTAGTAACAATGCTCACGGTTGATTTATATCAGCAAGATTTGGTGTTGATATTGGAACTCTTCTACTTGTTGCCATTTAGAATGAAACAGGAAGTGGACACGTCTATAGGCCTGGGAGGAAAATCCCCACTCTACTACTGAATCTCTTTTAAAAGATTTTGCAGACATAAGTAAATACAATCCATGAAAGACACCATAGTAATAATAGCTACAATAATAATTATTATTACTATTTCTATGTGCTAGGCACTCTGATAAGTATATTGTATACATTTTCTTCATTTAAGTGAAGAAAAGTTTAAACCAAATGGTGTCTGGATCTTAATATCATATGCAGTCACAGTAATGAAGAAGCTTGGAGTTCAGAAAAGGACAAGAAAATTAAATTTGACATAAAAATCTACAACTTTACTAACCTATCCAAGTATGTATTAATTTAATGAATTTAACATGCCAAACTATTCATGGGAATTAGACTGTGGCATAGTGGGAACTTAATTACTTCTATATAACTTTTCTTGGCACCAATGGGACAGTAGGATTTGACCTGTATGTATCATTGTTCTACACATCCCTTCTTTGTGTTGAAGTGTGACAACAGCACATGTCTTTTGAAACATGGAATTACTGAGGCACTTTTCCAGAAACAAACACAGAAAAAAGTTAAATAATTCATAATAGTAATTCATGCTATAATCTTACCTTGACTGTTTTCATAATAAATCTGCTCACTGGCCTGAAAAACACATGAACGGGCCATTAGACATATAATCACTGTTTGCCACTCCAAATACCACAGTGGGCAGTGGGCTCTGGTATTGGATATGCATTCAGGGCTCAGTCTTGATTCTTTATGTAATTCACCCAGGTTTCATTCAAGTACCAATGAATGCATGTAAAGTTACTCTCACATTTAAATAATATACAGTCATGCTGTACAGGTTTGTAGCTTAGGAGCAAGCAGGGGTGGGGAACCTGCAGCCTCAAGGCTGCATGTGGCCCTCCAGATCCCCAAGTGTGGCCCCTCGACTGAATCCGCATGGCCATACCATATAGCGTAGGTGTGTAGCAGGCCGTGCCATCTAGGTTTGTGTAAGTACAAACTATGATGTTTGTACAATGAAATTGCTTAATGAACTATTTCTCAGAATGTATCCCCATCATTAAGGGATGCATGGCTGTACCGTGAACATGGATCAATGTCTTATTTCCCATAGCCTAGCACTTGTTTTCCTTAAAGTTGAAATCACTGGAATTCTGCCTCATCCACTGAAGCCACCATCCAACAAAGGTCACTTTGGGAATGGCAGGGACTTGTGTGTACCATGATTCATGACTTCCAGCCAAGCATTAGCTAACAAACCCTTCATCAGTGTCAAGAAGGAGAAAGGAAATTCATTTCTGTAGTTCTTTTGGATAGAGTTCTCAGTGTACAAGCTTATGGGAAAAAAATGTGCACTCTCTTGCCATTGGATTCTATTCATCTCCCTTAATACATGTGCCTTAGCTCATAAGCCACCCCTATGTTGGTATTTCAATATCACACTTTATATTTGCAGTTTAAAACTGTTTTAAAATTACCCTTTCAAATCCTTCATGCATGTAAGTGTCTCCTCCTGGCAGAACTTTCTGGAGTTCTTCTAGGCCTTGACGGATCTGTTCCCTGAAATCCAAAGATATCCTGTTAGTCTTATTAGAGCACTTTTTACTTTGCTGTTGATAGTCATACGCAATGGTCTTCCTCTTAATCTCCGTGGGCGCTGCTGTATTGCTCCAATAGTCTTTCAAAAGCCTATCACAGGGAAAGTCTTTATATTACAGTATCCATCCAGGGTCAGCCATGATTCAGGGAAAGGACCCTTCTGCAGGAATCTACATCTGCTTGCAAAAGCTTTCTTCTCTCTTAACAGGGACAAAGTTTTCATTCTACATTGGAAGTGGGTCTTAAAAATGCAACTGCTCCGGAGGGGAACAGCAATCTAGGCAAAGATGCAAATGGCTCATGTGAGTCAGAAAGAGGCAAATACCAAGGACCCTGGGGAAGGCCACCGTGAGGACGTGAGTGGAAGGGGGATATGTCCAGAGCAAACTCTGCCACCTGCACAGTCCTGCCAAAGAAAACTGTGCTGTTGGCTTTGAAAATAAAAGCCCTAGGAATAAATCTACACTTTCTAGGACAACCAAGAGTGCTTTCTGTAGGCTGCTGCCTATGTTTTCTTTTTCTTTTCTTTCTTTCTTTTTTGAGACAGAGTCTCTCTGTCATCCAGGCTACAGTGCAATGGTGTCATCATAGCTCACTGCAACCTCAAACTCCTGGGCTCAAGTGATCCTCCTGCCTCAGTCTCCCAAGTAGCTGGGACAACACGTGTGCACCCTGATGCACGGCTAATTTTTCTATTTTTCTGTAGAGATGGGGTCTGGTGCTTGCTCAGGCTGGATTTGAACTCTTGAGCTCAAGTGGTCCTCCCACCTCAGCCTCCTAGAGTGCTAGGATTACAGGCATGAGCCACTGCACCTGGCCTGATGCCTGTGTTTTCTTACTCTGGTTGTTTGAGGTGACAGTGGGGCAGGAAGTAGAAGTGAGCTATGGCACTGGGAAAGAGTCCGACTGGCAGTGAGAAACGTGAATGGTTTGGGGCCAAATGGAATCTTTGTGGAACATTCTTTCTGGGATGTAAGGTGTCCACATTCATGTTCCTGTCTTTTAAGTGACTCCATACTGTGCTAAAACAGGCAAGAAAGTAATTTCTGGAAAAACAAGTAACCTTATTCATAAACTATAAGCCTACAAAAGGGTTTGAAATTGCTTTTCTCCCACTGGAGTCTCTTCAGTGGCATAGGGTGGAGGTGCACTATTTAAATTAGGAAGGGGATCTCCTTTTGAGTAGGGGAAGAATCTAACATGAGCACCCACTATATACAAGGCACTGCTCAAAGATTTCTGATTTCATCCTCACAATAACCACTCAAGGTTTGTATTATTTATTGTCCTCATATCACAGGCAAGAAAACTTGAGCTCAGAGAGGTTAAGTAGGAAAGCAGAGACGTGAGGTCAAATGTGTCTAACTCAAAAAAGGCTTTCTACGCTGCAAAGCGGCCTCTTAGCAGGGAACAATGTCGAAGTGGGAGCTTGCTTCTGTGAAGAGCAATGGCCATTCCTAATGCGGCCTGGGTACTCGCGGTGTGCCAGGCTCTGTTCTGAATACATGGAATGTAACTGACCCGCTTAAGCCTGATGCCAGCTCCCTGGGGTGGATACTACTGCCACCTCCATTTCACAGATGAGTCACAGAAAGGCTAAGGAACTTGCCCAAGTCCCCTCCACTAGTAAGGGGCAGAGGCGGGATTTAATCCCAAAGGCCCTCCTCTCAATCAGTGTGATAAACTGTTTCTCCTTCTCTCTCTTTCTCATCAGTGAATCAAACTTATTACCAGTTTACCCTGGCAATTACTTGGGGAGGAATTCTAATGAAAAAATTAACCTTTGTTAAAACTGGTGTGATGGGGCAGCCATGAGTGAGGGTGGATCACCAGGCTGTGGGAGATTTTATTAATAAAATGCAAACTGAAAACTGCTTAGCCTGAGCCTGTCTTTGGTCTGCTGATACTTCGGTGGACTATTTAAGACCAAGTAACTCAGACTTTGGGAAATGTCCTGACTATTGTCTGATTGTCTGGTTCGCACCCAGATATCAGAGCACGTGCCCAGCTGCCCCAATCAGAACCTGGAGGCCTTCCCTGATCCACACCTTCACTCTCCTCTCTCCTTCTGAGCCCCGACAGGCTCCGTCATCAAATTCTGTTGGTTCTACTCCAAATGTATCTGGAAATGGACTGCTTCTCCACCTCTTCTGCCAGTCTGAGCTACCATCAACTCTTGCTTAGGCCGCTGGAACAGGCACCGGCTACCTTTTGACTGCCCTCTCGACCCCTCCTCCAATCTTTCTCCATATGGCTGTGGAATGTTGTTAAGATTCAGATCAATGCACGCCATTCACTCTCCTGCTCAAAACCCTTCAATGGCAGCCCATGGTACTTGGGATAACATCCTGCACCCTTGCCACGGCCTTGTAGAACCTACTCAGATGGCTCCTGCCTCCCTGTCCAGCCTCATCGTGATTACTCTGCCCCCACTTTCTTCACTTCAGCCATACTGCTCTTCCCAAGCTCCCTTCTCCAATGGGCACTTAGCGTCAGCAATCACAGCTACCTGGGAACACCATCTGACCAGATGTTCACTGGGCTAGTTCTTACGTAGTTAAATGTCAACTGCTCAGAGCAGCCTTATTTGACCTCCCTAATCCGACTTGCCTCCCTCTATTAAATCTTCTCATAGCACCACACAATTTTTGCTTCATAGCATTTAGGATGTTTTATAACTAATAACATTTGATTATATAATTATTTGTTTAGGTTTTGTTTGTTTCAGTTTTAGACTTTTAACTCCATGAGGACTGAAGGCCATGTCTGTTTTGGTTCCCACTATACCTTCCGTGTCTACTATAGCGCCTGGCACAGAACAGACATTCAATGAATATTTACCGAAGAGGTGAGTGGAGGGAATGGATGTCTCCATTGTCAATCATCCTGGGAAGAGGTCAAACTGGGGGCAGGGATGAGCTTCACTTGGCCATGTGGAGGGAGGTCAGGCAGAAGCTGACCTTGTAATTGGCCCTAGCACGAGTCTGGGCCCGTGTGGTGGTTAAAAATTATTCTCTGTGTTGTGTGTCTTACTTTACCCCCCATATGTCAATAAATCCTACCAAAAGGCATAGTTTAATTTCAGCTCTGTTGTTCGATAACGTGAAAGGGCATACATCCTGGGCATCAGAAGGAGGGATAAAGATGGAGCAGTGTCCCCCACCACGCCACGTGGGGATGGTATGTGGCATTAGCAGCCACCTGGCAGAGGGCAGCTGTGCTCTGTGGTGGGCAGTTTTGTGAGGGTCCCAGCAGCACAAGCAGTGGCAAGGTGACATGAGGGGGAAGCTGGGACAGGAAAGGTGGGGTCTGTTTCTGAGCACACAGAGATGGCACCATGGAACTCTTCATGATAGCTGGGAGCACTATGGGGAAGGGGGGCTAATTTCTGACAATTTGGTGAGAGACGATGGGGCAATAAAAGTAAATATGATCTTAATTATACTTTGGTCATAGACTAGTGAGATCTGGAATTGGAATATTATGTTAAGACTGGAGATTTAAAAAGATGGCTGGGAAAAAAAAGGCATATTGGGGGTGTGGAAAAGTTTGCTTGGCTTCACTGTATTTTTTCCCTGCCAAATAAAGTCTGGGAACTAGGGTATTTTCTCTAAGCCTATTTCCTTTTTTTTTTTTTTTTAACAAGTATTTTCTTGAGCTTTCTATTTTTTTGGTACCAGGAAAAGCGGAAAAGCTGTTTTGGAAAACGTCCTTATCTTTGATGCTTTGTGTCTGGCAAGATATAAACTCACTGGTTGTGAGCGCTGATCAAACCTCCCTGATATCCTGCCCTTACTTCTCAAAAGATCATAATGCGCGCGGCCCCATCTCCCTACTCCCAGCCCCTTCTCTAAGCACCCACAACATCTGAGCAAACAAAACAGATGGATTCCTGGGAGTTGTGGGTCTGTTTTAATTCTGGGACAATAGAACTAGTAATAAGGATCTATTCTTTATGCTCTCTTAGAAACTGAAGAAAATTGGGAGAAAGATCTTTCAAAGGATGATAAGAACCTCTCTGAGAACTCAGTTATTACCAAATGAAATGTTATCTTCCTGGGAAATGAGAGAGGCTGGGAATCCTATGAGGAGAAGCTGTTATTAAAGAGCTCCTGTTTTCCTTGGTGGTTTCACATGTCTGCCAGTGTTCCTACTCAGAAGTTAAAAGTTTTCAGGCCACATGTCTTGTGTTCCTTTTGCAACCCCCACAACGTGTAATGATGAGCATAAAGTAGGTGATTGCCGAATGAATGATCCAGTTTCATTACCATTACTTCTGAGCATACATCATGCACCTAGCACTATGCTGGTTTGTAGGGGTAGTGGATGGGGACAATCAGTCACAGTGTCTTCTAAACTTTCTAGTCTTTATGATGATTATTTTCTGGGATTCTGGTTCTATTCTGACATTTTGATAATCTTTGCTAATGAAAACATTGAAGTATGAACACACATTAGCATGTCAAGAAGCACTCAATGAGCTTTTATCCCAAGTATCCTACTGATGTTTCCACAGCAAAATCCCCGTTGGAGTTATGCAATGTCTACCATATTTTTGTTCCATAAAAACAACCTCTACTACCACCCAAAAATAACCCAACATCACTTCTGCATCCCTGACTTCCTTGTCTCCTTGTAAAAGAGCTTCTGTGGAATTGAACTCTTCTCAAATGCCTTGCAGTTGTTGGCTTTGGAGTCTTAACTTATATGGTAAACACACAACATTATTTATTACCACTAATGCTACTCTTGCAACATTTCCAGATGGCCTTATAGCTCGTTGTTCAGCACAAAAAACAATGTAGTGAACAAAGAAGAACAGATTAAAGTCATTTTACTGTTACTTTTAGAGTCATGAAGTTCCACAATCAACTATAATCATTTATTTATAATGTATATAATGTTAAAATGTATATAAATATATAGCCTCTTCGGGACTTTTATCTAAGATAGGCCAACAT